TCATAACTTGTTACATGGTAAATATAATTCAGTGATAAATAATTGCACTGAAGATTAAATTTCATATCGTTATATTGTTAGGAAAACCACCTTCATGCTTTTTCAATTCTCCACATATTCATAAATTGAGGAGAGTTTCTGAAGAAAAGAAAAAAAATCTAATATTCCATAACGATATTTAGATTACGCACATTTTTTTAAATTATATTCAAATCCTTTTTGATTACGAACATAGACATTAATTTCATTGATAATAGAATTGACACATATAACGAGCAGGATAATTACGTAATGCCACATAAGAAGGTGCAGATTCGCTTTTTTGAGTGATATAAGCCATAAAACTTGTGAGAAACATTTCATATCAGAAAGACATACTTTGTTTCAATTTATTTTTTGTACTTTCCTTTTGAGGATTCATGATATCAATGGAGCAAACAGTTTTATGGATGGCTTCATCCAACTATATTATGATGAAGCAGATTTGTCTCTTCCAGTTACAAAGTCGTAGTTTTGTAAGAATTGCGTGAATCACCAGATTTTCGAAATGATGTTCACGAAGAGTTCATTGGAAACTTCAACAAGTCTACTTAGATATTGAAAGATTTCCTTGTAAGTAAAATTTAACAAAAAGTAAAGCTATTCAGTCATTACTGAACAGATGTAGATGGAATGAATATTATCTGAAGAAGTTATCAAAATTTGAAAAAATTGATAAAAGTATGAAAAGTACGTACATTACAAATGAAAATACTCAAATAAAACATTTCATGGAAATTAGTAAACCTTGTTTTGTGTTTTTTCAGAATAATAAACATATCTCACCGCAGGCTTATTGTTATAACAAGTTAAGTCATTAATATCATATGAAACCAAAGCTCATAAATATAATTACGAAAATAACGCATAAGAAAATGACAAATCGATAATAAATTAATGCTGACAATAGATTGTCAACAATTCATGGATTTTTTCTCTCAGAGAACATTTATCTATATACATCTGAATCAACTCTAGTACTTATAGCATGAACACTTGCATCTTTTCAGAAGAAGTCACTGCAAACTACTTCATCACTGACAAAATTCCACATGTGCAACAAAAAATTCAAAATCTCAACTGTTTTCCCAAAATCGCTTATTCAGGACGTATAGGTATATTTGATGATTTCCAAAAATTTTTAAAGATTTTCATCCCACTAATATAATAATAATAGAAATAAAGTCCTGGGAAAAAACTTTTTGGCTTTATACTTCTCCATTCTCATGAAAAAAAGCTTCCTAAGGTAGGAAGAAAGTAACTGAGTTCAAATTGAACTCTTAACAAAGATGTGTTGATCATGAATAGAGGTTGCTTTCAGACTTGAATCGAAAGAAAAAGGCCTCCCGAAACAACTACTTCCACATGAACATTGAATTACACTAAATAGAAAATAATTTCGAAATAACTACTCTCTTATGAACATCGTATCAAGTATATAAAAACCACTTTTTCCTATTCAGTTTGTACTTCAGAATATCGTTATGGAATCGAACAGGAACAGTGGAACAGGAACGCTACACAATATCTACACAATACCTACATGAAAGAGTTATGATATATAACATTTCTCTTATATGAAACACTATTATCCTCAATGAATATTATCTCATCAGTTTTTTTTTTGGGTAACATTACAAGGTTAGATTAAGTTAGGTTAGGTTCAAAGTGAGTGGGTCAATTCGACCCTTCACTGCAACCGCAAGGGTTTATTGTGGTTCACACCTATTCAAACTCGACCAAATAAACCTAGCTTCTTGAGAAAGCCGATTAATCATAACATTACAAGACGAAGTACTCTTTTTATTCAGAATATTACGACTTTATGTCACAAAATGAGACAAATCTGATGTCACGATTAAACTACGTGAAAACATTCATACGCTTAATTGACTCAATCGTAGCCAAAGAAATTGTATTTATTTTGAAAGGGGATTTTTTCCTGAAATGTTTTATATTAGTTCTATCAAAAAGTTATCAGAAGAAATGAAACTCAGGCTAGTTAAATTTCTTATTCACCCCCATATCGAGTATTGTTGTTCGGTGTATTACAATTTTTTGCCGCAATATAACAAACAGAAGTTACAACGTATACCAAGTTCCTGCATGCGATTCGTATGCTGTATACCAATATGGTGAACATGTCACCCCATTTTTGTTGAAAATGAAGGAGCTGAATATGAGGTACAGAACCAATATTTGATAAAAATGTTTTTGTGTAAGTTGCTTCAAACTAAAACACCTAGTTATTTATATATGTATGTCAGAATTTCAAGGATGTTTTCTTATATAGTCCCTTCCTATCTGAATGAAATTTTACCCCTTTCAAATCATAATATTCAACAATTTGAGAAATAAATAAAATCACAGATGCTTACTGCTCCGTGCTAATTTAAAAGATTTAAAATTCAATGTACGGTAGTGCAATGAAATATTTAAATTGACCGAAATAATGTTAAGAAAATTAAGAGTTATAGCAACTAGATGATGTATTATTTTTTCTCTTCTCTATCATTGTTATGATACTAAATAAGTAAATACTACTACATACTGAATAAGTATGTATTTTCTTATACTTACTGTATAATTTTTGGGAAGGGTGGAAGAAAAAAAATATGGATATCATGCTTATTGTTTGAAAAATATAAATATTTTGTGATGTAAATTCAGAACAGTTTTTGAGAATCACTCGAAGTTTTCTTGGGGTACTTTATCGACATTGCCTTTTTTATTTTTTAACATGCTTATATTAGCTTCACTTGTATGTTTGTTTGTAACTGACCCCTTTGGACTCGATTTTGACTAACTATGAACGGACAGATGAATTTTAAACTTTTTACACTTATCAAAAATCGGTGGTATTACAATAAGTTCATCTCATTATCCTGAACAGGATCGCCAGGATTGAATAATTTCCTCACACAGTCTCTATGTGAGAACAAGTGAAACAACCACACTGTCTGTGCATGAGTATATATTTCATATTGAAACAAATGGCCTTGAAATAGCGAAACTCTGAATCCGATATGTCTACAGAACACTCAACAGCTCTAACGACGCTGCCATTGACATGCTGGCCACGCCCTGGAAGCCTAACATGGGCTTCAGAAGCATCCCTAGAGAGAAGCTCCTGGCTCCTGGGAGCCTGGAAATCCCCAAGGAATTCCAGGATATAAAACTATCTGAACCATAACTCTGCAGATAACCTACCATCAACTATTGTACCCGAATCATTTCATGCAACCACTAATAAGGACCCACATTAGGACCATGAATCTCAATGCCCAAGGACCATGAGGAAAGCCACTAACCCTGTTAGCCTAAAATTGAGAGTATTGTCACTATATTGAACTTGTTAAAACTAATCACTAACCCATCTAGATGTACTAACTTAGACTAAGAAAAACATTGTGTAACCAAACCAAAAAAAAAACCTTGTAAACTAACCCCATCTCTGAAGAAGCCCCTACATACCATCCAACCTACTCTTATCATGTACTCAAAGCAATTAGTAAACGTTTTCAATTCAGATTGAAGATTTCATTTCGAGTTGGCATGGATAGAAAACTGTATGGGGAATATTAAAACAGGCAAAGAAGATTGTCGGTACTGAATAATCGAAACATTGTTTGGTAGCCACAGTACACGCATTGATTCTTGCGTTATGTTTAACGAATATATCGCTCAGTTACGGTTATATCTGTTTCTGTGTGTTTAAAATATGTTTTTTCGTTAACCAGCTGTCGCACCCCTACAAACGACAACCCTCAGAAGTCGAAACTTGTGCGAGCTAAGGATTCACGAGGTCTTACCTTTTAACGTGTGATTCCTAACACGGGTTAGACGATAGCAAGTGAAGATCGATCATTCAGACTAGGGCTAGGACACAGCAGTCAATTGGAGTGAGTGAACAAAGCACCCACGCCGAACCGTTTGGCTACCGAACAATCAATCTTTTCATTTGTTTTTTTTTCTCTTTGCTAACAGTAACATAATAATATATTCCTTGAAGTATTCATTGCCCATTGTTTGAGAATCTTATAAATCAATATATTCTTGAAATATTTCCAGAAATATTTTTTTGAGAAACCGTTCAATAAATATTGTTTTCATTGCTGAAAAATAAATTTATTGAACTTAATGCTGAATACGAAAATTTAGCAATTATCATATTGTATTGAAGTTCTCTCACTTATTTTCAATTTGTCAATCGAATAAACGAACAAATTTCAACACATTTCTTTAAATATATTGAAACCAGACATATGTCATGGTTATTAAAAAAATATCTTTCATATAATTTGAAATGATTTCGTTCACTTTTGATATATAAATGTTTAGCATTGAACAAAATTGCCCAAAAATGCAAGTGATTATAACAAATCGTTTATTCAGTAAACAAAATGAAAAATGTGATTTTGTGTGATAATTTTCAAAAAGCGATTTTGTCCTCAAAAAATCGGCCATTTCTAGCGAAGAGCAACAAGAACACCTTTTTTCATGAAAATGGGCAGAGTTGCTGAAGAATGCCAAGAATGACGATATCGCGAGAAAAGTTGATCACTCATTAAAATTTTTCAAACTCCCCATCGTATACCACTGACTGCATATTGCTAATATTTATCTTCATGAGATCAACTTCATTTTGTAGCATAACCTTCGATGAAAAGTTGAAGTTTCAATTAAATTAATGACGGTATTCAGGAAACAGTCTGTATATCAAATCGTTGAATAACAATTTTTCACGAAATAAACCTGAAAAGGTTGTAAAAGAAAATCATGTATTCGTAAGGCTGTTGAAGAAAAAGTTTGTTTTATTTTGTGAGAAATTCACTTTAGGAAAAATTAATAGTCCAACAAGAACTCTGTAGATATCAAATTGTATCTACGCACACATCACCTCACTTCTGTTCTTAAGGTTAGTATAAATTCAGGGGCTGCAAGGTAAAAATTGTAGTGCACATTTTATTATTTTTTTAATGTTAGAATGTTTTCCTACATATCCCTTTGATTTTTTTGTAAGGCAGTTTACAAGGTAAGTTGACTAAAAATCTATTTGGAAATCCTATAGTAGTAATTTCCTGGGATGCCTCAGTGGTGGTTATTTGAACTGCTTTCCTTCTCTCTGTAATGAAAATGTGAATAATCAATCATGAGACATGAAATAATTGAATGAAAGGCTCATTCAGTAATAATAATAGCGTTTATTGCCCAAACGTTTTACACGTATAGTGCAAACTGTACATGATAATTGAAAAAAAATTCTATTTGATGTAACACAAAAAACATATGTAAGAGAAAAAACATAAAATAAAAGATAGTGAATGTTTCTTTACTAATTGACTATAGAGTCGTACGAGATTTGTTTTTAATTTCACGTAAGCTGCAACAAAAAATATGATATAAGAGAGCTTGTTTGCATTACGACGCATAAAGTTAATTGATGACATCGAAATCAATTTTAGATTTGATGTTGTCATCGTCGATAGCAAGTAATAGTCCACCTTCACTTGTCGAATCTAACTGATTGAATTTGAGGTAATTTCGATAGATTTCATAATTATCAGGAAAGGGTTCACTAGATTCCACATCAGATTTCAAAAATACTATATTCACAATCGCTTACGTTAGAATAAAAAGTATCTACCTTGCTATTTAGCCCCTTTACATTCTGATAAAAAGTGGATATTGTGTAATTTCTTAAACTATTGGTTCGTTTAACGAAACCACCATAGATATATCATTGAAGTACTTCATCTTGTAGTTGTTATCACCATAGTTGACTCTGTCCAATATTTCTTGCTTGATTTTTTCAAGTATTCAGTTTGGCTCTTGGTATGATCTGTGGAAAAATTTACATTTTTCAGGTATGGTTTTGATTCAACTAATTTTGAGTTCCTTAACTTTTCGACTATGTCCTCTCTATCAAGAACCACTTTGATAGCGCGTATCTTCGACTCAGAGTAGACACCTACTCTATATTCAGTGATATAGTACTTACTCAGGATCTCCGAGACAGCATTTCCGTTAGATACTATTCGTTCACTGTTTGATAATTTTTCGCTGGGTTCAGAAACGGAACCTGTGAGTTGGCATTTGAAGCTATTTCGACCTTCAACTCCTCAGTGTCATTTTCTAATTTGATTATTAGAACTTTTAGTTTTTTTAGATCCTTTTCGATACTTCTGCAGTCGATACAGGTCGAATCATAGCCCTTATGGATGTATGAAGTACGCACTTCCTTTGAAGTTATATCTATACATAAGTGCTTGCATTAATTTTTACAAACACTATACGTGACTATGTCCGGCAAATGCTTGGTTGCAGTATTTACAGCATTTACAATTATTTACTGGATGTAACAATCACTGTCGACATGCCTCTGGTAGGGTGTTATCTATCCACTTGCCGTGACAGATGTAGCTAATTGCAGGCACTTCCTTGTTCAGTCCCCAAACACTAAATCAATTTTAGATATCATTCAATTTTAACTAAATTTGGACTTGAAACTGATTTGTATCTTCACGAAGTTATTCACGGTACTCTCACTGTCGTTTTGATGTGAAATTTTAAACTTTTTTGCGGACGTTAATGAGTCCCTATTATATTTTTTTTTGTTTAACATGATATAACAGAAATCCTTGAACAGATCCTTGATCATTTTCTGTGATAGTTATGTTTAGTAGGAGAAATTGTGGCCTAGAGTGCAAAGTTGACATATTTTGGAACAGAATATTTTGTTAGGCCCTAGTTAGTGGAGGGCGAGGTACCTCAAGAAATAAATATTTTAATGATGTTGAGCAAATACGCACCATTGGGACACAAAACAAATACTGCTCTCACACTCCAGAATTGCAAGACTATTCCTAACACAAGTTTCACCAAGTTGACGTCATCAGGGGATGAACTTTACAAATTTCCAACTCTGACGTCATCTACTCATATCGAACAGAGTACACATTTTTTTTATCCTATTTATTGTACTCTCTTAGATTTAAGACATTTACTAATTTCCATATCATACTTCGCCTATTTATTTCTAACAATATCTGTTCAGTGTTGCCTGAACGCACTGTTCGAATGGAATGTCAGTTGGTTAGGTTAGCTTAGATTAGGTCAAAATTAGATGAACACATTCAATAAATTCATTACCGTATACAGGGTGTTTCAAATTCGATCCTCACCATTGGGATCGCCAAAACTATAGGAGAAACGAAGATGGTTGGATTGGGGCAAATAACAATATGCCGTTGAGAAAGTACTGAAATTCTGACTATATCCAGAGGTGTTCGGAAAAAACAGAAACTTCGGAAAATGGTTTCTATTTTTTCTCTGGCTTTATTTTTCGAAGGATTCGAGAATAAATTGCACTTTTACTTTGCTACTTTTTCACTGCTACATAATGGTTTGCTATCCGACGTTTCGTCTTCCGGCCACCATCATCAACTCTATTTCTTTTATGGGCTCTACATTGGATTCTCTATGTTTTGAATAGAAACAGATTTTACCTTTTCAATGATGTATCATAAGTAATCGAAAAATTGGGGGTATTAAAAAACTAATTCTTATCAAAATAGGCTTTGAATTTGATGTTTCTGAATTTGACTTTCAATTTGTTACACTCAATGACATTTTGTTATTGCACAAGTCACTGAATTCTTGGCGAAAAATGGATTTTACGAATGAATAAAAAAAGATAAGATACAAATTTATTACAAATACGATAGAAACAGTGTTAGCACATCGGAAATGTATTTAAACTTGTATCCCGAAAGACGACAAGCACATCGAACTATGTTCAAGTTATTGCATCAAAATCTCACCGAGTTTGGTTTGTTTGAAAAGCCAATGAAAAATACGGAGACAAAATCAACAATAAAAATTTGATAAATGAGGTGTATGAGGTATTAGACATTGTGTCCTTTTCAATGAAAATAGAACTTTGAACAAATAACAATAATCAACTAAAATGTAAAGACAAAAGTAAATCACAGCAAATACCCAAAATGCTGACCTTTTTCATGATAACACAACTGTTTCCTTCTTCGAATATTACTCACATGATTTATTCCCTTCCTCCTCAATCTTCCGAACTCTCTAAAGATTCTGTGTTCACGGACCCCAATATTTTGATATTTCCCCATAAAAATGTATCCATAACACTTAAGTTTGGAGACCTTGCTGGCCACCTCACCGGCCCATTTTTCCCTATCCATTTGTGACCAAACCTTTCAGTCAGGTAATTAGATACTCGTCTGGTAGTGTGCGGTTGAGCACCATCATGTTAAAACCAGATGATGTTAAAACTGGTGATAGGTTTCTCCATTCAGAATTCCGTCAAGTAAATGAGGACCCAAAATTCTATATTTTTAATTCCTGCCCACACTAAATCGCACTTGAGATCGAATTTTTTGTAACCGCCTGGGGTTGTTTATGCTCCAAATTGATTGATTGAATTTTCCACAATCCGTAAAAGTGCTTTCATCTGTCCAAATTGCATTTTCCTGGAAAAAAAGGAAAATTAGGTCTTCCTATTAGCCAATTACAAAATTCTAATCGCCTTTCGGGATCACCTGGATGCAATTTATGAGATATGTATATTTTGTAACGTTTTAAACCGCTTTTTTTGAGATGTCTCCAAGCACTTGTTCGACAAATATTCATTTTGGAGGGAATTTGACGTGTAAATTTCCTTGTGTTCATGTTTATCTGCAAATTATCAATTTTTATTGAAAAGGACACAATGTCTAACTTACCTCATACACACCTCATTTATCAAAGTTTATTCAGTTTCCTGGTCCATTTTGTCTCTGTTTTTTTCCTCGGCTTTTCAAATGAACCAAACTCGGTGAGATTTTGATCCAATAACTTGAACATAGTGCGATGTGGTTGCTGTCTTTCGGGATACAAGTTTAAATACATTTCCGATGTCCTAACACTGTTTCTATCGTATTTGTAATAAATTTGTATCATATCTCTTTTTTCTTCATTCGTGACAGCCATTTTTCGCCAAAAATATAATGACTTTTACAATAATAAAACAGAAAAAATATCGTAAATAGATGTTTCTATAAAATAAAAAATAATGTTTTGAATCATTAGCGGATATCTATAATGATCTGACTGTTCCAATGCAAAAACCGAAACATGTGATAAGAAGTGAAATATTTTATAGAATAATTTTCACGTGCTTTTTCACTAAAATTCACCTTGTAACTTGCTATATCGAAAATAAACTGAAGAAGTAGAATACATTCTTCATCTTAACTTTGAAATTTATATTTTGAAATATCTCGATACTTCAAATCGATTTGAAACTATTGAAAAAGAAATACAAATAATCAATTTGAAAAATATCCCACAAAATATTTGAATACTGTCTTGTCTGTCTAGTCGAAAATACTCATTTGTCATTATCGAGAAAGCTATTTGATGCCAATCGATCATTCTTCAGTTAATAGTTCATTTACTAGGAATCACAACCTTCAGAAATTGATGTATTTCTTAATCCCCACTAGCTGTTCTACATTTTCTTAACATTGCCAAGAACTAACGAGGTTATCACGAGGTTAAATTAAATATGATACTCACCCGCCTCTTGTTTGATTTTCTGAAATTCTTCTTCGGTGTAAAAGTCCTTGTGTGCCAGGGTCAAACAAATCAAAGCCCCAAATATCACTAATATCGACATCCCAGTAGTTGAAAACATGGCACTGTATATTAATAAGACAACAGTCTGTCGGTTACTGACTCGATCCCCAGACGAATGATCACAACAAAAATGGCTACTGATTAATCTGCCTAATGATGAAGAGTTGATTACTGGAAATTGCGAATACTTTCATGTCGTTTGTATTTGGAGTTAGTGATAATTGAATGATGGTTTTGTTCTCCCAGTGAGTCATGTATGTATTTACAAAACCGTCAATCAACAATTCATTCGAATTGTTACAGATGATCCGAGTGTTCAAGCTGATTATTTGATGATTCCGAACCAGAGATTTTTATGAATACCAAAGGTTACGAGAGACCGAATATTTCCAGGTCCGTTCTTAGGTAGATGCTACTCTTTCAGACCGAAACCATTGAATAGATTTTGAAATTACGGATTTCATTGAAACATTTTTGATAGCAACTATTTTATTTCCCAAGAAATATAAAGTGTGTACTGAGATGAAAAATCAAGTAATCAAAAATAACGTCATTTCTTCAGTTAGTTGTGGTAATAATTTGTTATTTGTTATGTTATGGAATCGATGAAGTTATGTACACAAAAAAACTTTTTTTGGTTCAAAGATGAACATAGTTGGTACGGCTTTGTAATCCCCCCACTGCCGATTCTGAGTAAAATAAGACAATTAGAAGCTTGTCAATTCCGACCAAAATATTGTGAAGATATGTAGATGAAATTACCGCAGTGTGTAGTCATAGTCGAGATGATCTATATTCATTTTTGGAACATATTAGCTATTTTCATATTTTTTTTCTGATGGTCATTCGATATGAAAGTATTTCAGATACTGAAGATTTTATTGCAGAAATTTTTTTGAAACCAGAGAGACAAGTTCTATTCAAAAAAAAATTTTTCACAGAAATGGTTATTCTGGTATAATTNAAACCCCATTTTTCTACAAGTAATTTTGAATTCAATGACCTATCGCTCATATTTTTAAGAACTTCATCCCTGTTGAACATGAATTTCAAAATGTGAACTAAATTTTTATCCGATCTCTAACAAGAGAAGATACAACAATATAAAAATACGACTAGAAATCAATCCAAGAGTACCAGATTGCTACGTTCACAGCATGATTTCTCATCAGATTAAGCTGATGACATCCAGAGAGAAAATAGTTCGGCAGAGCCGTACTCTTTCCATCGGATTCGTTAAGAAGCTGGGTTTATTTGGTCGAGTGTGAATAGGTGTGAGCCACAATAAACCCTTGCGGATTGCAGTGGAGGGTCGAATAGACCCAGTCACTTTGGACCTGACCTAACCTAACCTGGTTCGATCTGCCCAAATGCGCCTTCATGAAGACAAAAACCTTGGATATACAAAGAGAGAGAATTTCAAGGAAATGAACTTTCGTTTTTTTTGTGGTATGTGAGAGTCGAATGTTTCCTCGTTGAAAGAAGTCCCAGATTTCCTATCAAATACAGCTTCGTTTCTGTAAATGCATCTACCTGCTCAGAAGATATGAAGCTTTCAAATGACGATAATGAGTTTTCTGAAAGCAGAACATGGATTTTTTTGAAAGTTCACCGTCTTTATCAAGTTAATTTTGAAAATGTTTTCCGGATTTTGGAGCACTATGTCACTTCCCGACATACTTTTGATTCCAATGAGTCAGGTGAACAACTGCAAATTTTTTCGAAATCATCAGTCAATCATCTAATCCTAATCAATCAGTCAGATTGATTAGATATATATTTCAAACATATTCGATGTAATTTTTTCAATATTGTTGGCAATTATAATCTTCATGTCTGCTAAAGGAGTGCAGCGATTTTTCAGCAGAGCAGCACAGCATGAGGAACCGAAAGCCCTATGATTTATCAATCTCCAAACTCATTCGAAAAATCTAGGAATAACACGGTTGAAGATTTTTCAATGGTTTATAGGTCAAAACTTGTCTTGCCTACAAACAAACTTCATTTTTTTATTTCTGCGTGATGTTGTTTCCTGATCAATCCGTGTAAGAGTTGCGAGTAGTTGAGGATAAAACCGGTTGGTTACCTCAGAACACCTAATTATAGATCTCTATATGCGATCAACATAAGAAATTTGTTACATTTTTGCTCAAGGTTCAGTAACTCACTGATAGATGTAGCAGTATATTATGCTGTATATGCTATATAATTTTTGTTGTCAATGGAAATTATTATCGGAGCTTTTAGCAACAAGCACTGGGTTAAACTATTAGACTATTGTTTGATATTATGGAAATCGACTGAAAAGTGGGCTAGGGTTTATGAAAAGTACCGAAAACTGTCTTATAAACAGAAGCTATTCTAGCAGATATCATAAGGGATAGTGATTTATATCTCGTATAAAAAATATTAAGAAAACAGTTATGAAATTGAATGATAGAGGCTCGAACTTTAATTATCTAGAAAAGTGTTCAGTCGTTTGATATTAGAATAAAAATTAATTCTAATCATAATGGGATATTTCATCAACATGGTTTATTTCCGAAAAATT